TTATAAAGTTAGCGATATGCTTTAGACCGGTCAGAGACGCCTCCCCCTTTGCGCCTGTCTGTCGGGGTGATTGCAACAGGTTGCAGTAGCAACACCACTACGACCACCATTACCAACGACGCTGAGAATTCCCCTTTACCCCCTTCTCAATGGGTCGACCAATTCCCGCACGCAGAACCCCTTAATGTGCGCCAGCAGGTGGTCCCCATAATCGTGAAGCTATGCTTTGTTGTAGAACAATGTCAGCCCTAAGGATTTATACATTCCAATCCGTCCTTTAGTGGCTAAGTATCAAGTGAAAGAATGAGAAAGAAAGAGAAAAAGAAAAAAACAGTTCTATCCTTTTGTTACCAACCTTTAACTCGGATAAACAAGGTTACTGTGATCCTCCCTTGGTATAGCAGGTGACTCATAAATCCAGCTACGGGGTTCGATCGTAAATTGAATGCATTCATCTATAAACATCAAATTCTTGGGAATTTTCCTTTCTCTTCATATTACCAGAGACTTATCAGATTGTTACATGGTTGATATCTCCCGTGGTGGAAATCCTTAAAGTGTTACGATAAGTATATTTTTATCTTCGTTATCATTCTTCTTCTTCTTCTTCAAAAAAGGGGAGCAACGGCTCGTTGCTTATATACACGTAAGTTGTTTCTATAATCTTTCTTTTTAAGTAGTCCAAAGTTTATTATTGGTATCCTTTACAAAAATGTTACGTTTTATTGGAAATGATGAAATTCTTTTTCTATACGTTTTTAAAAATGACGAGAAATTCATGGTAATATTTTTGAGTCTAGTATCGCGAAATAATACCTAAAGCAAAAACTACGTGGAAAAGAAGACAGACCAAATGCGTTGAATACAGTGCCTGACGTAATGTAGTGTGGGAGCGGCGTAGCTCTTTGGGGGTCATCGCCCCGTCTCTCTAACACCCATTGTTTTCCTACAACCCTATCACAATCAAAGTAACTAAAGCTATGTTTCTGTAATACTGTGTTCAACGAATAATGAATTACTATCGCGATATTTTTTTTATCTATTATCAAACTTTATCAATATATTTTCTTTGAAGTATACAAAATATCTATTAATCGTACTAACAATCAATATTTCAAATGTAATCTAATTAAAAACAAAATTGATAGATAAATTTCAAGTTGTACGATAAAAAAATATATATACATATTGGATGGGCAAGAAAGTAATTTCCGTTTGCACCAATAGATGCGTTATGTTTGTTTCGTTATTCATTTGTTAATTTTTTTTTTTTTTGAGGTTAGGTAGTTGACATTATTAAGTTGCTATAGAAACAAATTTCGTATAATTTTGTTTACAACTGTTAGTTTAGAAACAATTGAGTTTTATTTCATCCTAGAAAACCGAAATTATTTTCTTACCAACCCAATATAAATATAATTGGATACACCTGTTCTTAAATATATTTCTTCGATGAATCAACATATCGGTAAAAGGTGGACATCTCTCTAAAGAATAAGAATAAGAAGAAGAAGAAGAAGAAGAAGAAGAAGAAGAGAAAAAAAAAAGAGTAAAGAATCATGAATTTTATTAAACATACGCATCGTACATAAACCACGAAGAAAAGCTACGGAGCTCTCAAACGATACCGTTAAACTGACTTCCGTCTGTCCACCTACCTACCTGCCTGCCTACCTACCTACCTACCTACTTTCCTTCTCGTACATCGTCCGACAGTATTGAAAGAATTTATTTGGCGAGAGATAGAGGGATGCATTAATGAAACTTTCAATCAATGATATTATCAAATTTTCTTTAAACATTTGCACAAAAAAATCTTTTACCATAAAAGATGTCTGATTGTTTTTATGTAAAATAATATTCGTACATCTTTAACTTCAACAAGATCTGTTTGTTAAGGGCCGCTCACACTTGACTAAAGATTATTTTCAAATAAAATACGGGCACGGGTTTTGGCGCGTAATAAAATTTCAAGTACCTAAAAAAGGTATGTCACACACACCCTTGGGGAAGATTATTGCAAGACACTGTACTACTTGTACGTATGCATACATCTCATATAAGATCGAGAAAAATTGGTCTGTACAGTCGTTACTGTAGTCCTCGGTACCCCTTGCTCGTTCAACGACCCTGCATGACGCTCACTCATCGCTTCATGCACGCATGCACGCATGCACGCACGCACGTGATGAGAGAATCGGAACGAAAGTGAACTGTAGAACGACGACGACGACGACGACGACGATGTGAACAACGTATATTGGAGACAGGGAAGTTTTAAGATATCATTTGGTATTTTCATTTAATAATATACAGTGTGCATGACCCTTCACGAATAAATTCAGTTTGATTTGAATCGTTTAAAAATAACTATGGTTCTGGTGCTTGCGCAACAATGTTTTTAGTTCCTCTTACCTTTGTATCTCATTTAAATACCTAAACATTTCGTCACGTGTTGATTCTCTTTTAGGAATGTCACGTATCCTATATATTGTAAGACATGATCCCTTGGAACAGGTTGGACGAGCCTAACAGGAAGATCAAATAAAAAAAAAATAGCATTGACAGATATAAAATAAAACTCAGTTGGATTCATTGATTAGATTGAGACTCGGGTGCGTTTCCACGAGTGCATACTCGTTCGTTCAATCGAAATCGACATTCGTCGAAGTGAGGTCACGCTTGTTAGCTAGGGTGAGAGAAAAAAAGAGTCGGGAAAAAGAGGAGGGGGAGGAGGAGGAGGCAAGAGTCAACGACAACAGGAAACGAGACGTACTATCACTCGGCACCGGACGTCGTAACTTCCGAGTCCTTTGGTCTCTGTTCTCCCCCTGTGCTGTTGCTCATTGCTACGCATCGTCGGGGTAACCATCAACTGCAACGAAGAAAAAACCCTTGCGAAGATTTTCATCGACGGAGGGCGCATTAGATGACACAACCAAAAGCGAGCACCATTACCAATAAGGTAATGGCAATGTTCACGTTGAAAATGGCTTCTTAGGATATCACGAGTGGTGGCACCCGCTTTAACGCGCCCTTTCCTACAAGGATAGAGAAAGAAAGTAAGAAATGGTGAATGAGAGAGAGAAAAAGAGAGGGAGTGAAAGAAATCAAGGAAGGAGGGAGAGAGAGTGAGAGAGAGAGAGAGAGGGGTAGAGAGCGTGAGCTCAGAGGTGGAACGTAGAGAAAACGGGCAGGGCGCGAGAACGAGAGAAAGAAAGAAAAAGAGAAAGAGAAAGAGAGAGAAAAAGAGGGTGGGGAGACAGAGGAAAAGGAGGAGAAGTGAGCTCCTTACAGTGCATTGCCTTACGATCTTCCCCAAGTTCCCGTCGCACCCCGGACGCCGACAAATCGCGTCCAACGTGCTTCTCATGAAGAGATCCACAAAAGCAGCTTCGCCGTCGAGAGAGATTCGGGTCGTCGCTTGGCGGTGGCTCATCGAAAGAGAGAGAAAGAGGAAAGGGGAGGAGGTGGTGATGGTGGTGGTGGTGATGGAGGAGTAAGAGGAGGAGGAGGAGTCAACTCAACTCGTGTATACGTATGTGTATGCGTGAGTGCGCGTGAGCGCATGAAGACGCGAGAGAACACACAAATACACGCATTACAGACGATTTATACACGTGTATGGTATTTATGTATGGGTTTTCGTCTGTATATCCTCTTTTTACATATATGCGTTCGTTTATATGTGCATATGAGAGGAACAAGGAGGGTTTAACACCGCACCCCGTTCGTTCTTCTTCTTAGCTTTCTTCCTTCTCTTCGAAGGAGAAGCAGTCGTCGGCAACGGTGAAATGACGACGATGACGATGACGACGACGACGACGACGACGAAGATCGTCTTGTCCGTATGAGCGTTCTCCTTTACGTCCCTCTTGAGAATACGGTGAACTCTGCTTATACGCTTTTCGTCTTCTCTCCCATCTCCTTTCTCTCGTTGAGAGGAAAGAGAGGAAGAAAGAGAGACTTTCACCAAGAGACGCTATGCCAGTTCGGAGGGCTACAGGGTTATCATCCGGGGTTCTCTCTCCTTTTACGACTTACGCTTTTGGCGCGGAATTTATGCGGCGGTATGACTTCACGCTGCACTCTCGTCCTCCTTTTCGAACGTTCGCACGTCCTTCTTTAGGATACCATTTGCATTTTCACTTACGTAATCCGACGACAACCGAATTTTCTTACAACCGTTCGAGATATTCAATTCGGCAAAATCCAATATTTACGAGAATTTTCAGAATGAATCTCAAGTGTTGGTACCAGGTGGAATCACGTTTATTTCATTTAAATCAAGATCTATCGCGAAAGTTTTTTTGATAATCGATAAGATTCGATAAATTGATTTACTTTTGACTTTTAACGTTAGAAATTAACTAAGCAAGTTAATTTGGTTTCTTTAAAGGAAAAAAAAAGTCATGACTTTAAAATATTTACATAAATTTACGCAAATGCTGTCTCATTGCATTTCGTAATAAAAAAAAAAAAAAAAAAAAAAAAAAAGAAAAGGAAAATAATTATTCGAATTTATTACTCCGTCGTGAATAAACACAAAGCATCGAATTTGTTGTTCCCATATTCGACTTGTAAATCTTATTCGATCTATTTACACGTGTAATGTAAATGTAAATGTTAATGTAATATATAATGCAAGTAAATGTCTGGATATGTGTTTACATTGAGTGCTTGCATTTATGTTCGTATGAACTTGTTTTGCTTTTCATGGAAGCTTTGTCGATCATTTTATGGAACTTGTTAAAACCTATGGACCAAAGAAGGAAAAAAAAGCGGGCGTTTAGTCGATCAAGTCTTTCAATGGCATCTATCGTCTAGCAGGTTGTACACAAGTTGTAACTCAAAGATGGGGTTGACTGTCCTTCCAATCCTCGTATCCGCATTAGTCTTTTTCTCTATCTTTCTCTTTCTCCGTATTTATGTACGCGCGGGTATAATATATATGAATGTGTGTGTGTGTGTGTATGTGTGTGTGTGGTTCGCGCCCTTCTCTTCCTATACCTCTTACCGCATTGCAATCTTCTAACGGTTAATCGACTTCGACGACTTTTTCTGACCAATCGATCTAAATCTTTGCACGTCGCGCCATCTAGCGGATTATTTCTAACAGAATCAACATGTCTACTACTACTGTACAGTCTTTTACCACTAACATAACCTATCAAAGATAATTTTAAATGATGAATTAAAAATCCAAGTATTTTATATTAAATTGAATTATTGTCATTTCTCTCTTAAAATGGCATTTTTAATGAAACGATTAAAAGTCGGAGAATTGATGAAACTATCTGTTAGATATAAACATGGTCCAAATCATTGGGTAAATATTTTCATATATTTTATTTAGAATTATTATTATATTGATGTCCTGTGTTATATTTAGTTACTAATTAATTCATTTTTTATATTTATATAATTTGTATCTTTCAGTCTGTGCTTCGGAAAAAAAAGCAAAGTATAGACAAAGCATTGGAATATTTTGATGACTTTTATGCCAAAGTGTATGGAAAAGCATGGGAAAATATAAGAACTGCATTGTTACAAGAAGAAACTAAATATATAGCAGTGGTTAATAACTACAGTGATGTTGACAAAATACAAACAACTTTGGAGGTATAATAACTACCTTTATTCTATATCAAAGTTAAAGAATTATATTTAACCTATACTTGTGTATATGTCATAGAATTGTGGAGCGATAAATTTAAAATCAATATATGACGTATTTCTGGAAAATCAAGAAGTGATTAAAAAAAAATCTACCAAGAAAAAGAATTCAAAGCAAACTACTAAGTCAACTAATAGGATAGATAATTTGATATCAGAAAATCAAAAAGTAGAATTACAATCTCTTTATCCAACTGATTATGAACCACCACCTGATTTGTTGACTTCTACAGAGTCAAATGATATAACTGACAATATTGATAAACCATTAGAACCAGCACAATTAAAATCTATTGCCGATGATTCTAATGAAATTAATATTGACTACAGTCGTATCGTTCTTCCCACCGATAGCACAACAGGACTTTATGAATTTATACCGGTAACAAAATTAAAAGGTTCATGAATATACTATTATTCAATATATATAGTAACAGTAAATATCTACAAACAGCACTTTAATTTTCATTTTATTATAATATAGGTTTGGAAGATTATGTCTTAGAATCTGAACATTATGAATATTATCGGAATGCAAATGATTTTGAAATAACTGTGGAAAAAGAGGACACTTTGTCTTTTCCAAAACATCTTAAATGTTACACATTTGAAGAGTTTAGTACAGAAAGATTTCCAGCTCCCAAAAAAGGATCCACCGGTGTATTAGGTTTAATATAATTTGATTTCTATATATAATAGTAATGTTTTATGTGTATCAATGTATTTTATTATTATTTTGTAGATTATTATCTCTTTGATGGAGCTTCGATACTTCCTGTTTTGGCTCTTGATTTACAATTAGGTGATCATGTATTAGATATGTGTGCAGCACCTGGAGGCAAAACTCTAACAATTTTACAGACACTTATGCCCAATTTAGTGGTAGCCAATGATTTATCAATGTCTAGAGTTAGAAGAATAAAGCAAATAGTAAACCAATACTTAATAAATATAGGAGAAATTACAGAAAGATTAATTATATCTGAACAAGATGCTCGTAGAATTGAAGATGAAAACATCTATAATAAGGTACTATATATAAATTGTGTGTATGTGAAAAAGTAATTTTGTTTTACGTATTGATTTCTTATTTTTTTTTTTTAACTTGAATTGCAGATACTTGTCGATGTTCCATGTACAACGGATAGACATGTATTACATGAAAATGATAACAATGTTTTTAAACCTTCAAGAATCAAAGAAAGATTAAAAATGCCAGAAATTCAAGCAGAAATTTTATAGTTAGTATTGTAAACATTTTCAATATATATTGTCATTTGTCATTAATTTAATTATTATTATTAATATTGTAGCAACGCGTTGAAATTAGTTACTGTTGGTGGTACCGTTGTATATTCAACCTGTTCTCTTAGTCCTATACAAAATGATGGCGTTGTACAAATGGCATTAAAACGAATATGGGAAGAAAGTAACACTGTTATAGTTGTAAAGTAAGTTATTTATTAAAAAAAATTTGCATTATTACTTTCTATGAAAATGTAAATAAAAATTAATGAAAATAATATATTATATTTACAGAGACATGACAAAAGCTTTAAATCCATTTCAAACATTATTTAATTTTGGAAATTTTGGTTTGAAATATGGACATATTGCTATACCCACTATCGGTTATAATTGGGGTCCTATGTATTTTTGTAAAATGGTTAAAACGAGATCATAATGATAATAAAAAATAGTTAGAAGTAATTTTTACTCCATTCTTTATATTAGGTTGGCAACTAAGTCATTGCTGGTTTTAAAAGGCCATCTATCGACAAAATCTACAATCACTTACTGGTCTCATATATATTATGTGTATATATGTACATATATGTATATATAGATATAAACTCTTTATATAAAAATAATATGTAATATTTATAATGTTTACATTACTCTTATAAAGATAAAAAAAATAATAATCTGTAAATATTCCTGTGATAATTAGACAGCTTGCAGTTTTACAAAATTACGCAGATATGCATAAAACAATTGACACCTCTCTCTCAGGTATGTCATCTTAAACTATATCGATAAATAAAAATGTCGCGTGAATGATCTGCATTATCGGTTAGTTACCGACGCGCCAATTTCAATATATCTTCAGTATTTTTGATTTATTTAATAAATAAATAATCATATGTAGTTTAACTAATGTGGTTAGAAAGAAAGCCGAATTACGTAGGTGTGATGCCAAATTTTATTTTCTATTCAATAAATTTGATTATTTATTAATCAAACTATTATTCATTATATTAATTATTTATTTTATAGTAATCGGAACATTTTGTAATTATGAAACCAAGTAAATAGAGAAAGTTATCTAAGAATAATATCATGTGTACAGATCACACATGAGACGAGTCCACAGTATCAAGGGTAAGATTATAGTAGGGTTTATTTAATATAATTTATTATAATATTGTTATCATAATATTATATAATTATCATACATACCAAAGAGCACCGATATGATCTTGAGGTAAGGTTAGCTGACAGAAACTACCACTTTCCAAATTTGAGCAATTAAAATGGAATACCGAATAAGATAGTCAAAGATAAACACTAAAATCGTAGGATGTTTGTTGACGGAAAGATATCCCGTCCTAACCTAAATAAATATAATATATATTTATATATATATTAACTATATAGATAATATAGCTATAATATAGCTATAATATAACTATAATATAACTATATTACTATAATATAACTATATATAACTATATGAATAATATAGCTATAATATAAATATAATATAACTATATTACTATAATATAAGTATAT